CTTAATAATAATAATAATAATAATAATAATAATAATAATAATAATAATAATAATAATAATAATAATAATAATAATAATAATAATAATAATAATAATAATAATAATAATAATAATCTGTAGGGATGATCAATTTAACCACTAGATGATCTCTATCTCCCCATTCTATGCATGTTACATGTGTGCAAAGCCAGCCTGTAAAATGAAAGACAAAAGGAACAACAATGTTTGCATGGAGTCCCCAAATGGTAAAGTAAGACTGCATAGGAGTAGGATTATTTATTTGTTTTGTTTTATTTATTCAAAGGCAGCCTTTTTCCTGATAAGGGGACCCCAGGCAGTTCACAATATTAAAAAGAATAGGATTAAAAAACGTAATAAGTTAAACATTTTTAAAAAGTTGAACTATACCCTAATTACAATGGAATAATTAAAAGTAAGTAAACATTTAAAACTATCTTAACTTCAGAAAGGCATTCAGGGACTCAATCATGATTATTAAAAGCCTGCCTGAAAAAAGTGGGTCTTCAGCTGTTGGCAGAAGGACAAAAGGGAGGGGACCAGCCTGATCTCCCGAGGGAGAGCGTCCCATAGCCTGGGAGCTGCCACAGAGAAGGCCCCCTCCCGTGTCCCCATCAGCTGTGCTTGTGCTGGCAATGGGACCGAGCCAAGCACCATAAAATGTCTCTGTAGGGGAATAGACCCCAAAGAGGCATTCTGTTTTGCAGCAAACAAAAGTAGCGGTGCATGGAAGAGGAGGCAAATAAGGCACCCTCTCCCCTGAATTGAAAACTTCTGTTGTGCACCTCTCTAGGCGTGATTAAAGTACTAATCTGGGACTCCGGAAATGGAAGTTTATCTCCCACTGGGCTGCGTAACCCACTAAGTGAGCCTGGCCCAGGAAGAAGAACCACCACTTACACCACCTGTCGCTCTCTGGAGCAAAGGAAGGCAATGCATGTCACACAAAACAAACAAAGAGATCAAGCCCCACATTCTACGGCTCCTGAAATGTCTTTACTTTGTTTGCTAGTTTGATCAGCAGACAGAAATCTCTTTACACCACTTGTCACTCTCTGGAGCAAAGGAGGGCAATGCATGTCACACAAAACAAACAAAGAGATCAAGCCCCACATTCTACGGCCCCTGAAATGTCTTTACTTTGTTTGCTAGTTTGATCAGCAGACAGAAATCTCTGCTTGGCTACAAAATTGGCTGGGTAACGTCGGAAAGGTCATGTTCTGTCAGCCTCGACAATGCTAAATGCTTTTAAATTGTGTGAATTGTAATGTTGTGGCATGTCACACAAAACAAACAAAGAGATCAAGCCCCACATTCTACGGCCCCTGAAATGTCTTTACTTTGTTTGCTAGTTTGATCAGCAGACAGAAATCTCTGCTTGGCTACAAAATTGGCTGGGTAACGTCGGAAAGGTCATGTTCTGTCAGCCTCGACAATGCTAAATGCTTTTAAATTGTGTGAATTGTAATGTTGTGAGCCACTTTGGGTCCTTTGTTGGGAGAAATGGGCATATTCATCATCATCATAAACAACCCTATTGTTGTGAAGTAAAAAATGGGAGAGGGAATAAATCATGTGCTCCTCTGAGAAAGGAAGGAATTAATGAATGAATGAATGGGTAGGGTGGGATGCTTTGAACAGCAGCCGGAGCTCACCTGAAACTCACCTGCACTGGATGCTGGGGAGATGTCCTCTTTCTCTTCAAAGTTCTCCATGACAAGGGAACAACTCTTTGAGGATGGCCAGCTCCTTGGAACTGACTCTAGGTTGGTAAAGCTTCACATCTAAAGGCAGAAGTATTTCATTTCAATCAGTTACAGGATGGCCACTTACGCATTTGCAAAAAAAGGGACAGATCTGTGGGTGCTAATTTATACACACAGAAGTAAATTTAGAAACAGTCGCCCGAATCCTCTCCAATAGGCCTGCCATCATAACACTGTCAGTGTAAATTGCTGAAGGCTAAGAAGACTAAGGTCTAGGCATTGTTGTTGGACACCAGCTCAGCACACCACAACAGCTATCTAGGCCAGTGGTTCTTAACCTTTGTTACTCAGATGTTTTTGAACTGTAACTCCCAGAAACCCCAGCCAGCACAGTTGGTGGTGAAGGCTTCTGGGAGTTGCAGTCCAAAACTCCTGAGTAACCCAAGGTTAAGAACCAGTGATCTAGGCTGACTGCTTAATGGGTGGCAATTCGCTAGCAAGGTTTGCCCTGATTGCACAATAGGATTTTGGCCAATTGCTCCAATCTGAATAGAAAGAAAACCAGGAGATCAAATACTGTGACTTAAAAGATTTGATATGCTCTACCATGTATCCTTTATGCTTGATTACCCTGAACCCCCAATTCCCATTTTAATCTGTATCTTCCAAAGTATGGGGAGATGATTTAGAGCTCTTTGCTCTCCTCCATCTGTCGGTTTTATTTGGTTTGAACCAGTAGTGTAGCGGTAAATTTTGAAGTGCAGCTGCTCATTATGAAATTCTCTATAGCCACTTTCACAAGGAGTGTCTAGAAATGTGTTAATCCATCCTGACAAATTGATTTTAGGACTTTTTCATACCCACCAGCAGCAGGGTGTTTTGTAAAGCTAATGGTTCTTAATGGACTTTCAAGATCAAGCCACCCTCAAAATATTTTGCATTACAGTTGGTACGGTTAATGTTACAGTATGGGTTGCAAAATTGCTCCTGACTTATGTCAACCTCATGAATTAATGACTAATGACTTCTAAAAGGGCCTAACTTCTACAGCCTTGCTGAAATCTTATAGACTGAGCATGTTGGCTTCCTTTCTTGAGCCAACCCATCACATTTAACACTTTCTTCTTTTCCTACCATCTTAATCTTTTCCTAACATTATTGTCTTTTCTGTAGCTGGGACAGGACACAACAATATACTTTTGTAGCTGATTTCATAAGGGGCAGGAAGGCCTGGGTTTGCGCCCATGCAATGATGTTGAAAGAACACCTTGTGGACCCTGTCTTTTGACCATGCTAAATAATCTGGTGCCCTCAGCAAATTTTTACCATGTCTTGTGCTAGGACAGGCACATTTTCTTAACACTCTGGATTTTAATGTGGTTCCCGGGTATATTTCAATGGGCCATGGTATCACTTCTGGATTTTAAAGTAATGTGGTTCTCGGGTATATTTCAATGGGCCATGGTATCACACCGTAGCTTGAGTTAAGCTGATGCAGACCTGGTCATTGATTTGAAGGATGCTTCCCTGAGAAGTCCAGAGACAGCAGCTTGAGAATAACACGATAAAAGAAAGGTGGGATATAAATTCAACTGCCACTTTATTTTATTATTATTATTATCTGTTGTGTTTCAATTAGTTGCACACACTAGCCATCTATTTGCCCTCAGAGATGTGGATTCTCTACCTATCACACCCTCTTGTGCTTTTGCTTCCTTGAATTTTGGAGCAGGGCTGCTGGGAGAATTCCTACCATTTCTGGCGCGGTCACGGCAGAGAGATTATTTCAGACAGTTGCATTGATGTTTTTCAAAGGACGGCAGGCAGGCAAAGCAGTGCTGTTCGGCGGCTAATGGAGTGCGAAAGATGCCAGGCTGAGCTCTCTGGTTTCTGGCAGTCCTGGCTGGGATTTTCAGAAGGATTAAAGAGGATCATATGGAAACGCACTGGCATCCCTCCTGGAAAGCCCGCCTGGCCTGGTGGTGTTCAGTGGGAAAAGCTTAGGTAGGCAGAAAGTCAAGGCTATACGTGCATGTTCACAGCTTAAACCTGTTCCGACTGCCCAGAGTCAAAGAGGTTAGTCACAGAGTGTGGATAACATAAAAACAACAAAACTGCCTTTCTACATTTTCTTCATGAAGATAATCCAAAGGAACCATTTGGAAATTTATGCCTGTCTCTCCAAATCTGTGATGTTAATATTGTTCTGAAATGTAGAACCTGAAAGGTGCAGGTAAGCATTTTAAGTCAAGAGGTGGAAATGTTCCTTCTAGTTGGAGGATTTGTGAGCTAGCCGGACACAGAGCATAGCCCGGAGCTGCAGAAAGTTTCTAGGGGAAATGCTGGCTAGAAATTTGTGGAAGTTACAACCCAAACCACACTCATCCAAGCTTTGGCATTTTCTTTCCCACGGAGGTGGTCGAGAGGTGATTCAGTCTGTGGTGCAGTCCTTAGAGGTTGAATGCTGATTCTGAGACTCGGTAAATCTGGGTTCATGTTCCCAAGGAGCTATGACACTTACTGGACGACCTTGGGTCCATCCCTCCCTTCCTCCCTCCCTTTCCCTGACCTACCTCACAGGGTTGTACTGGTGATCAAGCAGGGAAGAACCAGGCATGCTAGCATTCTTTGGACGAAAGGCAGGATATATCAGCAAATCAATCACTTGGGATGATCGAACGGTGCCACGGAGTGATCAGAACAGGTATGACACTAAACCTCACCAGTTGCCAGTCCTGAGATAGGACGTCCTGGCCTTTCTTGTTTGCAGATTCTGGTTTATTTAAAGGCATTCAAGCACCTAGTAGTTTTATTGCTTAGCAACAGAAAAGTGTAGGCGGGTTGCAAACAAAACAGGTAGCAAAACCTAAGAACTCTTGGAAAGCCTCCGACTCAAAAGGAACCTTTACAGATTTTTCTTTCTTCTTCATACATATGGATAAACATTGCCCAACCAAAGAAAGTCGAAAGTGTCCCATTCCTAGAAAAAGGCAGCAAAGGGGCAAAACTTACCATTGCTGTGTGTTGGGGGGGGGATTCATGGAGCCCAGCTTGTTCCAGGACCCCCCAGGGCCGCACACGGCTTGCAGGATCTGACAGGCTTCCCAGCTTAGGGAGTGTCATCCAACCAACTCCCGGTGGCTTCCCTTTTTAGTCCCTGTAGCTGGGGAAAGGGGCGGGCAGAGGGGGTGCCCCAAGGTCTCCCCCCTCCCCGCATAATTGTGGCAAGGAGGAAGGGTGAGGATTGGAGGGCCCCCGGAGCCGCTCGAAACACGGTACCAACTTCGGAACAGTTCAGGGACCGAGGACAGCTGGAAAGGGCTCGTTTTACCACCCCTTTTTGCCCTGCACCTGTTGGAACAGCTTCCTCCTTTGCTCTTTAATACTTTCCTGGCTCTGGCTCGGTCTTGCTACCAATGTTAAAAAAAAAAAAACCTGGAATCTCCTGGGAGTATATTTATAGAGCAGCATTTGCAGATCGAGAGGTGGAAATTGCAAACATTTGCATTGTAGGGTTGGCATCCTTTGCCTTCTTCTGCTATGGCTGCAGCCTTCTGACCCTTTCCCACCTGGAAGTCCCATTGAACTGACATCTGAGCCAACATGCACAAACCTGCGGCCTAAGCCAGTTAATACTCACATGTGGAAAAGGGTTCACTAAGCGGATGGTATCATGACTTCAAGACACGCCTACCTTGCAGGTCAACCATGAACTGAAAGTTTTTTTTTAAAGACTGGCCATTGGATTCTGGCAGTTTTAAAAATGGCATTTCTAAGTGCTGTCCATTGATAACAGAATACAGTTGCCAAGCTGAGGTGCTTCCCCACCCCCCAACCTCTTATGAACACTCATGGTTTATTCAGGCATACTGCTAATGGGAATTGGGCCTGGTTTAAATGCTGTGAGGAGAGGTTTGCTTCTGGCCCAGTGGATGAAAGAAATGTTTGAAATACAGGAGCTCACCAGGACAGTTGTAATTGCCAAATGAGGTCTGAACAACAACAACAACAAAAGATGCAGGAAGATGGTGTTTTGTATTGTATCAATAAACCCATTCTAACTGTTTTTCATCTTAATCAGAAACGGACCTTTTGTAAAGCTCATTAAGTCTTAATTATCCATTCAAGGCCAAGCCCTCTCTGCTCCCTTATTAAGATAACCAGACCATACACTTGCAGGGCTGCTGGGAACATCTGTTTCTTACCAGTGACTGAGAGTTGCAGATTAGCTCAAGGGGAACAGAGATACTGGGTGTGGGGCTTGACCGCAGCAATAATGGTATTGCTCCGGTCAATCCAAAAGTCCAGATTCTGTTGCCACTGTCATCCTGCGAACGATGGCTCTAACTAATCCACTGCTCTTCCTTTTCCTC